TCTTAAGGAGAACCCTATCTTAAAAGCTAGAAGTGAGCGCGATTTGGTCAATTGATCAACGAACCAAATAGCATTGTTACCACCTTGGTCCTAGGCAACCCTGTCACAAATCCATAGGTAATATGTTCCACTTTCACTCGGAATAGGAAGAGGTTGTAAATTACCTGCAGTCTGATGTTCAACTTTCACTTGTTGACATACCAACATTGAGCAACTACTGAGCAATTTCCTCTTCATATTATTCCACCAAAAGGTCTCTTAAGTCTTTATACATTTTATGCTCCTTGGATGTATAGTATATCCTGACTGGAGCTTCTCTTAGGATTTCTCTCTTGAGCTCTAAATCATATAGACACACACAACCTCTCTCCAAATCTCAAGCTCCATCTTATGCATACAAAAGTCATCTGTAGCCCTATTTCCATTTCAGCTTAGTTTTTGCAACTGAGAGATTCTTCCCTGAGCATCTTTAATCTATCAATCAAGGTGGGTGAACTCTAGGTTTCCAATTGCACTCCATGGCCTATGCCATCTAATCTCAATTCAACCTCTGCAAGTCTCCAAGATATTCTTTGGTCAGTGATCAAGTAGCCAAATTACTCTGGGCCTTTCTACTCAAGGCATCCGCCTACACTTGTGCTTTTCCTGGATGATAATTGATAGTCAAATCAAGTCCTTTAATAGTCAACCATGCCTTGCCTATATTCATCTTTTTGAGTGAAATTACTTCAACTGTTATTTCAGTGATATATCACATTTCACCCATACAATAGTGCCTCTAGATTTTCAATGCAACACCACGGCAGCCAACTCCAATCATGCGTAGGGATAATTTTGCTCATATGCTTCAACTGCTAGACGCATATGTCATACATTATCATTCTGCATCAGGACACAACCCAAGCCCACCTCTCTCGATGCGTCACTATAGATGGCAATAATCTTCATCTCCGGACGAATCAAGTACTGGAGCAGACACCAATCGACTCGTTAGATCCTGGAACTCTTCTCACAATCATCAGACCATTAAATTTAACCCTTTTGTGTGTTAAACGAGCAAGGCATAGAAATTCGGAAAATCCCTCAACAAACCTTCTATAATAACTGCTAAAACCAGACAAGCTACGAATTCCATGACACTAGTAGGCCTATTCCACCTACCACCGCCTCCACTTTCTTGGGGTTAACAGACACCCCATCTCTAGTATACACTGACCCAAAATGATACCTCTCCAGCCAAATTACACTCTTTTATTTAGCAAATAATTTATTCTCCATTAAATCTGGCAACACTATTCTTAGATGTTTTCGTGCTCTGCTGTTATCTGTTGGGTACACAAGAATGTCATCAATAAAAGAACTACCAAGATCTAAGGGTTAAAACTGCTTATTAAATCATAAACTGCAGCGCATTAGGTTCAACCCAAACGCTCACTAAATGATGTAATGCCATCCAGTTCGGAGGCTGTGTCTTAGGTATACTCGCCTTAACCATTCAACTGTATGTAGCCAGAACGAGGTCATATCTTAGAAAGACTTGTAGCCCTTGCAACTGATACAACAGGTCATCTTCCTAGGCAAGATATTATTTCGATTGTCACCTTGTTCTACTCTTGATATCAATGCAAAGGCGAAAATACCTCCTTCTTTTTCACAATAAAACGGCGCACCTAAGAGAAACACTAAGCCTAATAAGTCCTTATCTGTATAACTTTGTAATTGTTCCCTTCAACTCTTTCAACTCTGCTGGGCCATCCGATACGGCCTTGGAGATAGACCCGTTACGTGGTATCAATTCAATGGCAAACTCAATCTCTCTATCAGTGGCAACCCCGGTAACTCTTCAGGAAAAATATCGGGAAATTCCTTCACAACTAGAATATCCTCTAACTTCAAATTCAGTCTCACGAGTATTCTCTACAGAAGTTAAATAGCCCTCGCACCCCATTCCTTAACAACCGTCTAGCTGCAAAGCTGAGATTACCAAAAAGAGGAGTGTTAACTCCACTACCACCCAAACAAATTCTGGTTGATTAGGAATTTGAATATACTACCTTTTTCCCTGACAATCAAACGAAGCATAATTGGTGTCACAATCATTCCAAAGATTATGTCAAAGTCCGCCATATCTAACAAGTTAAGTTACAAGCAATTTTCTGCTCTATTATATGTACCACACGAGATTTGCAATGTCTCCTCATGTTCCATTGCAACCTATATGCATCAAATAATAAATCTCATTATTCTATTTCAAGTCCTCATATAACAAGTAAATAAAATAACATTATATCAATTATATGCGTTCCAATCCTCATATCTCCAATCTCACCACTATTCATACCAGGCTTTAAAATAAACCTGGCTCTGATAACCATAAAATTGTCACGCCCCAAGCCTGTTGACAACGCACACACTGCATATAAGTGAGCATGCAGGCTAAGAATCCAATACATAACCACAAAATAAATACTCAAATTAAATCCTTAATTGCATAATGCCAAAATCCATAAAAATAATAGTCCTAGTATGAAAATGTCCACAAGTCCACTAATTTAATCCACTAACAAACAATAATCCACAGTACTTAAATCATGGTCCACTTCGGCACTCTCACATGTAAAAAGATCCCGGCGCTTCTACTCTTCGAATCTGAAAAAAATAAGAGTAAGCTAGATCGCCAGTAATAACCAACCATCAATGCTAGCTGGTCAAGTATAATAAAATAAATAATAAATCGATATACCAATAAATATTCATTTTTTCTACGTTTCAATTTAATAAATGAACAATTATTTGTAAGGTGGTTTCATAGCAGAAAATAAACAATGTACAATACATTTTAAATGAAAAGCCAACAAGATAATTCAAAGTAATTCGTTGTTCAAATCGATGGTTCGATATTCAGATGGTTCGATGATTTGATTCACAAAACCCAAGTCTTTGTGACTACGGTCACTTAGCCCGTGACAAGGTCCAGAACCACACATAGGCCGGTGGTAAAGCCCCAAAAGAAACTAGTTTCTGTGCCAATAAATAACCCCCATTGGCTAGGGTCCAAATCATAGTCAGACTAGAGTGATGTTCAAAATTCAAACAATACACAACTTTCAAATAAAACATTCGATATTTTCAGAATAAATGTTTAGTACAATTTTCAAAATAGTTTCATCAAATATTCAAATAATTTTCATAATAATATTCGATGTTGTTTTATACTTGACCCATATTTTATTTTAAGAGAACATGAAGGATATAAATAAATATTTATGATTTTAAACGATTCGATAGGAATAAAAATGAACCAACAGTGATAGAGGGTTACTTACCTCAAACCCTTAGAAATAACACTCCAACACCAACTCCAAACACCCAATTTCACCACTTCAATCACACAAACCTAATAAATAAAACTTCAAATAAATTAATATTTTTTACATGTTACAAACACCCACAAAAGCACCATTATATTAGATTAATGTATTACTTTAATATCCAAGAGATCAAACCATTCAACCCAACTTTATAGCCAAACACACCTTTACCCATGATACAAAACTCCATTGTTTCTATTACCCATCCAAAGTTACACTTACACATTGCACCCAATTCTCAAAACCTAAGTAGGCACCTATAGATCTTCTAAATCTCCTTAATGCATTGATTGTTAAATTCCTTAACATAAACTTAATAATTAACAGTAAAGACAGATTTTACCTTAACAAATGGGTGTCCCAAATATCACCAACGTGCTGCCTTCAATCCCTATTGTAGCCTCACTTGAACCTCTCTTCTCTTTTTCTTTTCTTTTTTCTTTTACCTTCTCAAACCCTAGCCGCCTATGGAGCAATTCATAGCCTCTGTTTTGTTTGTTTTCCAAGACTTAAAGCCACAATAGGTGGGCTTATTAACCTAATTTCTCAAAGTTACAAAATTACCCATCTAAGTAATAGGAAATATAATGTCATCTCATAACTAATTCTTTGATATTAATAAATGACTCATATAAGTTAATTTAATTACTAATCTATCCAATAAAATAATCCTACACACAACTTGGGTTTTACACAAGGTGATAATTATTTCACATGCCTCCTTTGGAGCAAGATCCCAACCTGTCTCTTGTTTATTGATTCCGTCTTGGCAAAAAATGTGTTTTCCCTCAGGCACAATGCTAAACGACATAATGAATTTATTCGGGCCCTACATCACTTCCAATTTTCCTATTGAGTCGACTTCCCCGAGCTTATCTAGCAGTACCTATGCAAATTTTACCGGGAGGAAGTGGCCTTCTAACCTATGCAAAATGAAGTTTGGCTGTTTCCGTTCGCAAACCTCATCACACTCCTCCAATAGGATGAGACTTTCCATCTTGACCCTAATGATAAGTTTGATACAATCTTTTCACAATTTGGTGAGCAGGCCTGGCAACACAATACTTCTCATATTCCTCATCCGGACATGGCCCTAGCCTAGGAAGCATAGATATGGATATGAGATATGGATACAACACGATACGGATACGGTGATATGACAAAACCTAAAAAAATAGGATACTAGTACGGTTAGGATACGTTTGTAAAAAATATATTTTTTAAAATTATTAATAGTAAGTTACACATAAGCCAAAGAACGTTAAGAAACCACAATGTAATTTTATAATGCAAAATACTAACCTTTAAGAATTTTGTATTAATTTAAGCTAGTAGCTTGTTTACTTTTTAAATTTTTAATAGGTCATGCAAATATTTCATTTCAATATCAAGTTTAATATATTTATATTATAATAATAGAACAATTCACAACTTGTCCTTTTACTTTTTCCTTTGACACTAGTGAAAAATATTGTATTCAAAGTTTACTTGCTTATTTATTTATTGATATTTAATTTTACCATTGTCATATTCTCTTATTGATTCTTACTTTCTATGTAGTTATAGGGGACATACATGAAATAATTAGGATACATCAATTTGATAAATTCTATTATTTAACTCACTATGCTCTTCTTATTGAAGAACTTAACAAAGTAGTAGAAAAATATTCTTATATTTATACTTGCAATTGTATTATATTATATTACTATGCAAGAAATGTTACAATTCTAATTTCATAAAACAAGTAAACATGACATGGAGTATCCGATACTTCAAAATTAAGTATCCAATACTCCAAAATTAATAAAAAAATAATTAAGAAGTATCCGATACTTTTAATAAGTATCCAATACGTATTCGCGAGTATCTAAGGAATATCGATATTAGATACGGATACGATACGGATATGTCACCCTATTTGAAGTATCCGTGCTTCATAGGCCCTAGCTATCCCCGAGGATGTTTCCATGGTTGATCCTCCACCCCCCAGTTCCTCCAATGGGTGAGCCCTTCTACATGATGACGGAGCAGTACCATGCACCCCTAGCTGGCCAAGCTCACCTACAGCAGTCTGTAGACACACTATAGATATCCTTCCAGGACCACCGGGACCACATGACTACATTTAAGGTTGATTTCTACGCTCACCAGGATCAAATGGCCACCTTCCAAACTAACTTCTATGTGCACTAGGGCCATATAGCAACTTTCCAGTATGATTTTTTTGCTCACCGTGCCTAGAGACAGCAAGACCTTTGAGACCCAGTCAATGCTTTGGGCGTTACTTGGTCATTTCCCCCCACCGTCAGATTTGTCTACATCTTAGTGGGGTTCTCAACCTCGTGCTTCATCTTGTAGTTCTTGGGTTCTCTGTGGAATTTTTGTTTCTGCTATGTGTAACTTATGGACGCATTTCAGACTTCTGACATTCATTCGGGTTATATTCATCTATCTCTTGTAGATCATTTATATTTGTATGCTTGCATGCCATTGATACCAATGTAAGTTAAGTTGGGGGTGGGTATGTTTGCATGAGAAGTTGGTGAGTGCATGAAATTATTTTGCTAATTGCATGACCTTGCATGACAAGTGTCTGCATATGAGTTCTTTATAGTATAATGTACACATTAGTCACATTTTGCACCATAATTCCTGATTTGCCATAGCATCTTTTGAAAATTGTGAGAGACACAATGATCATATGTTCGGGCGTATGTGTTGCTTGTCATTAGGTGTGTTATAGCTTCAGATCCATTCGGAATCATGTTTCGGTTGTTTTTCTTCCTCCATCGGAAAATATAAGTGAAATAATGCATTGGTAGCACACTCACATTGGTCAATGAGAAAGTTGAAGATGCATGACCGTCCCAAAAAGGAGATTTGTGGTTATGCTTATTCATTAATGGTGAGCAACAATTTCATATTTTAATTTGTTGGTTGGCATAACATGAGTCCACAGTGGATAGGGAGTTATTCGAGTGGAATTCTCACATGCACACTTTGATCTTCATGAGCACAATTCTAGTGAGGAGTGGAATTTTGAGTTGTACACTAAGTAGATGATGTGTCTAGCAAAGTTTCTTGATTAAAAAAAAATATATAAAAATTTGTCCTTTAATGCTTCTAACTTAGTAATCAGGCCTCATGCCTCAGTAAGTAGAGAGTGTTCATGTAACACCCCAAACTCGCCTTTCTAGAGCCTGGTGCATTAGCTAAAACTCAATCAGTTTCGTCAAATGTTAACCCTCAACAACCACAATACTAGATAAACATTCTCAAATTTACAATGGTCCCCAAACATGAAATAATACATGAATCTCAAATTTTACGTCATCAATAATTCTTCATAAAACCTGGCCTTGTACTAGACTCTACTTCAAACACAACTTGATTCTGCACTGATGGGAAAAAAGGGATAAACTTGATAGCCTAGTAAATAACTAACTATCACTACTAGTTGGACCAAGTATACAGAAAATAGTGTATAATCAATAACTATATTTACCAACAATTCAATTAATAAAACAATTAATTTGCAAGATAATTCCATGGCTGAAAAATAAATAAAATGTAACAACATATTCTAATTGAAAAGATAATTAAGTGATTCAATGCAAGTTTATTTGATCAAATCAATAGTTTGATATTCAATGGTTTGATGATTCAATTTACAAAACTCTAAGTCTTGATGACTATGGCCACTTAGCCCATGACAAGGCCCAAAACTACACATAGGCCGGTGGTAAAGAGCGCCCCCCCCCCCCTAAAAAAAAATAAAAAACTAGCTTCTGTGCCAATAATTAACCCCCGTTGGCTAGGGTCTAAATCATAGTCAGATTAGAGTTATGTTCAAAAATTCAAATAAATATTTCTTTTAACAATAACATATTCGATATTTTTAAGACACAATTTGGTAGAGGTTTTTCAAAATAGTTCCATAAAAAAAAGTCAGGTAAAAAAATTAATATGTTTGGGATGAGTTTTTGGGTTTTTACGAAAAAACATGCAAAAAGTAAACAGAAAAGGGAATCTTTAACTTTTTTGCATAGTTTGTTGGTTTTTTGACTTTTTTAGTGACTTTTTGGCTTTTAAGCTAAAATACACACCTCCCAAACAACGCTATTATCCATGTCAAGTTCATGTTCTGCGAGTTCGACAATAACCCGACTTATTTATTTATTGTGTTATCGTGTTGTGTCATAATTGGACTTGTGTTAAAAAATGCTCAATCCTAACCCGATAACTTCGTGTACAATTTGTGTCGTGTTAACGTCTTGTCTAAAAAATTCCTACCCCTAAATAGGACAGACTGTTATCACATGGTTGAAGTCCTCATAATCAAAAGCTGATAATCCATTTTTTCTCAATTAATTTGCCAAGAAGAGTGCATTGAGTCATTGACAAATCATGAAAAAATTGAAGTAGTAGAATTATCATACATGTCCCAACTAAGTTGTGCAGACTTTAACCAGATTAGAAAAGAGACGAATTGCATGCCCAACTTCCCAAGGAAACAAAAGACCCAAAAAAACACTATAGGCCCACCTCAGGGCCAAAACTAAATACCTAGCCCTATTCTTCGGTTTTCTGAACAGCATATTTGTCTTAACAGTGATTAAATACATAGGCATCAGAAAATAGGGCAGACTGTTATCACATGGTCAAAGTCCTCATGCTTGCAATTCATCAAGGATGAGACAAGTAAATGATTGGTTTCACCAATTCATACATATATAATAAGAGTTACAGGAATAGCATACTACATAACCCTTCATGAAACATACTTTTTTTAGTCAATCAAACGCTTTACAAAATGCTATTTTCCATATTCAAAGACCATCACCCCACAATGGCTGACAAGTGACTCCAACTCCACAAAAGACAATCATTTATGCAGGCGCGCACAAACAATCGAAATAGGGTTAAAATTAAGTACAAAAACAGCGAAACATATGTTATCCGTCAATTTATGAACAATGTATCTATTTCTACTCCTCTCAATTTTGTAATTGCAGGTAAAATCAGTCCCAAGTCCTAACCAAAAATTAAATGGTCCCACAGTTTCCAGAGTATAAGACAGTCAACTCCATACTTGGGCATTTATGAACTGATCCAGGGCCTTATCTCAAAAGGCAAAAAGGATCTATCAAGTAATTCATCCAAGTTTCCAAACACAAATCCAACTATACAAGCATGATAATAAATTAATGATGAAGTTCCAGACAATACAACACATATAATAGACTCCAATCGAAATTACTATACCAAGATCAAACAACATAATTTTGGTCAAATGAAAAAAGATAAAGGTGTGTTGAGATTATAACAGCCCATTTGAATTGAGCGATTTGGTGAGAAATAATAAGGAATGAAGAGAAAGAGAACTCTTACTCATGCTGGTTTTACAAATTAGGTGAGAATTATTTTGCCAGTTCAATTTCTCACAGAAAATGGTGTGATTTGGTAAAAAACAAAACTGAAGGGCTGTATATTTTTCAGGACACCGAAATTGTCCATCAATATACAAAGGAAAATAAAATCTCACCCATATCCACATGCTTTTCGTTCTACTCATCCAAACAAGATAGTGAGAAACCACAATCATTTTTTTTTTCTTTTCTCACTTGAATGAGATATCACAATGATTTCTTTTATTTTCTTTTGTTACCTAATATATAGACTGTAAACTTTTCATAAAGATTCCCATGAATGTTATGCAACAAACCAAGTAAAGAGGGAACCAAGTAAAGTTTCATACCTTCTTTGGGTTAAGCAAGTAGTCATATAATGTATTCTCTGACCAGATAACAGCCATATTTTTGTTGGCATTAGAATATGAGTACCCAGGAGCTGTGCCAGACTGCCTTCCAAAAAGGCCATGCAAATTTGGTCCTGGATTTTTCAGTAATAACATAAAATTATCCTCAAATGTTGAATGGGAAGAAGGGGAAACTCAGAAAAAGAAAGCTACAAAAAAATATTTTGTATGAGGCCTCCATGTGTTGTGTGCTTCATGTTTTAAAATTTCCACCTCAACATGTCTATGTAGTGTCTATGTCCGTGCTTCTTAGTTTGTAGTAATTTAAAAAAAACAAATGACCAATTTAAACTATCATCCAACTAGTAAATTTTCTACATCTTAAGCTGTTTAATTCTACGATCACACATATCTAATTTTCTTATCCATGAATGAACTAATTCTGAAATTATCACAATTTATATTTTAAAAACAACCAAACAGGCGGGCAATAACTAGATTGTTATATAATTACAACTACAAAATCAAGTAACACCCATGAGAAAAATAAGCCTTACACAAAAACAATAAAAATCAAACTATATTATTATTGAAAATAAATACAACAAAATGTGAATTTAGCCAATTTTTCACTCAAATTTGAATTTTTTTTTTTCTTCAAGGATTAGATGAGATCATGAGATCAGAAAAGAGGGATTAGGGGGTCTCGTTTTGGGAACCTTGTTTGTGGCCAGCTCCTTTCTCGACGGTGTGGCACTGAGCGCACTTGGTCCTGAAGATCTTGTCTCCAGATTTCGGATCGCCTGGAGGTGCTTGATCGAACGTCGCCATTGCAGAATGATCCCTCTCTCTCTCTCTCTCTCTCTCTGAGGTTTGAGAACAACGCGCAAGAGCTTCTGACGAGATTTCTAGGACTTTCTGTTTGTGAGTAGAGGGACTGTTTTCTCACTGGTACCTGTTTCTGGGACTTTCTGTTTGTTAATGAATGGAGAAGTTTTTTTCTAAAAACAGAAAGAAAAAAAAATGAATGGAGAAGTTATTTGGTGATTCTGGAGCATTAATTAGCTCTCGTTTGAGAAATTGATTATTTTAATTTTTAATTATTTTAATTAGGAGTGTAATTTGGACAGATTCAATCTGAGCAACCCAAACTTTGTTCGAATTTTTTTAGGGGTTGAACAAGATATTTTGTGGGCTTGAACTAGATGGAAGTGATTTTGAGGCTTAGGCCGCGAGTTGGGTCGAACTATGCTTTGGGAAGGCCTAGTGTGAGCCGAAGAGTAGATGGAACCAGTCAAAGAAGTTTAACCAAACTACCAGAGGGCCCATATTCTTGAACCTAGCTACTTTTTAATGGCAGTCAACGCCTTGATCGAGCTATCAAACGGATCGAGAATAGGGATTTGACCAAGCTAGGAGAAGAGTCGCGCAATGTCAGCATGGTGGCGCGTTGTGCAAGCTATGCACGGCGTTGCGTGTTGCACGGCTAAACCAGTGGTGGACAGAGCAAAAGTAGCCCTGTCGCACAATGGGAGTCGAGCAAAGAGTTGTGTCATTTCACTTGGTTAGCAGTGAAGAGGTGTTAAAGAATAAGCATTATCCTTTAGGAATGTGATTCCTAGAAGAACTCTACAAAGGAGAGTTAGAGTTCTATTATGATTGTGACATGCGGAATCTACAAAAACTCAAGCTAAATCCTAATCTCCAGTATTGCAATTCATACTCCCGAATACACAAAGCTTTTGCCTCTTTAGTCTGTTCACTAGCATAGGCTTCGAAAGAGTTTCCGGTACACACCTGCGGGCTAGCTCACGTTTGTAGTTTCAAGTGTTGCGACGACATTTGGAGGAGTGCAAGCTTGATCAACAAGATTATACGAGTGAAAATTATTTCATACTCGTGTAATTGGCGTCGTTTGTGGAAAGATCAAAGAACTTACCTTTTGATCAAGTTTTTATTTAGTAAGTTGTAATGACGCACAACGAAGATCTTCTTTAATTCGCCACAGATGGCCAGACGCCAAAAGTGAACATGAGGCATGATGATTTGCCTCCTGCTCTGTTGATGGCGGACTTACACCCTCAACGGCAGAACCCTCATAATCTGGCAAAGCGGTCCATTTTTGAAATTTTTGATTCAAAATCTATTTTCTAAAAGATTTTCCAGATTTGGACTCATTTATGTTTATCTATTTCACATTACACTTGTAGAATCAGATTTAGAACCATTGGAGTCTGAACTGTAGGGCTAGTCATATCCGAAAGGAGCACGAAAAGCAAGCTACAGTTTCTGGCAAATCTGCTGAGGACATAGAGAAACTTGACTTGAACTTCATGATGTGAAATTTTATCTACACTTACATGTTCTTTGCATTACATTTGCATTGGTGCGCTTAATTCACTATGTTTTCCATCTGTTATTCCTGGACGGTTTGCCAGAGGCTTGCGTGAAAGCTTGCCAAAAGGCTGACCGGTCGTGGGCTCTGCTATGTTGGGAACACAACCCTTGGATTTGAACTACCGCTATACCGTTTGATCCTCATTTCACTTCTTGGTGTTAAGTGTGAGAGGTATATTAGGTAGTCTTGTTGAGGTACCCCTTTGACCATTTGGCCTAGCTGCATATAATAAAGCCATAGTGACTGTTCCAAACTAGGATATGATGCTCACCCGAATGCAGGATTGTGTGAAATTGCTTGTTTGAAATAGTGAAATCCTAGTTCATGACAAAACTAGGATAGGGTAACCCTCCTCCATCATAAGGATATTTTGACTCTCTCTTAACTAGTATGTGCTTTACAGTGAAACTGTACAAGATGTTCATATCAGTTGCCCAATTGGTATCTATTTCGAGGCAGAATTCAGTATGAAGTGCGGTCCTACAGCTTTGATCGTGTCTGTGTTGATAGCATCTTAGCTGAGGTACTGTGCGGTTTCTAATTCCTATTTTTTTGCTTTATTTCTTTTGCTAAGTAGTTTAAAACCATAGCTTCAGAAGGTTTTGATATACCCCAAATACTCTGGACCCGAGTCGGAAGACTTTGCAAAGTCGGGGATCTTGTTTGGGGACAACCCGTGTTTACTTCACTTTCACCGGTTACAAAATGGAGAAGAATCAGGCAAAGTTCGCCAGTCCAATTCTTACAGCAATCACCTCTTAGCTTGCATGTGTCCAGTCCGATCCAAGAATAGTTAGCTACTTCCAGTTCAGCTCAAAGATAATCACCCATTCCCATGGCACAGTACCCCCCAGCCAATATGGAGGGATTAATACTTCAGTTACAGCAAACAGTTGAAACACTACAACGTGATGCGGCCCGCCAAGTTGAGGTTACGACTCGTCAGGCTGAGGTTATAACCAGGTTACAACAACAGCAATCGCAGCCATCAGCGGCTTCTACGTCACATGTACCCACCACAACTATCCTTGTGCTCGGTGCCACGGCTAATACTTCCAATGTCCAAGAAAACTAGGGCAATCCAACATAGCCAATCTCAGCACAAGCTTCCAAAGCACCAGTTTATCAAACCGAGGCACCGTTCAAATTTGAAGTCGATCCAATTGCGCTCAATGCCAGATCGGTTTAAGATACCGCACATTGATCGATTCGACAGCTCCGAGGATCCAATGGTCCACTTGCAATTATTTTCTGATATCTTGCGGTTGATGGGCTTAACTAGAGCACAGAAGCTGTCTCTCTTTGGCCGCACCATGTCGGGTATAGCAGCCATTTGGTATGCTAATTTGGAAGATTCTGTCAAACAGAATTGAGAGGAGATGGTTGAAGCCTTCATTGGTCAGTACTCTTACAATACTTAAATCGAGATCACAACTTGTGATCTTAAAGCAACACGCCAAGATTCGAAGGAGGGTTTCTCTGAGTTTAGGACAAGATGGAGGGCCAAAGCCTCGATGATAACCCTTCTGAGAAAGACCAAATCAGAATGGTCGTCCGGAATCTGCATGGCAAGCTGTTGCAGAAAATGATTGTGCTCCCATTATTTACATTTACAGAACTTCACGAAATGGGAGTGCAAATCGAAGATGCCATGAAGTAGGGCTTATTACAAATGAAAAGGAGCTGGCAAAAAGGCCGTTTGTTCGCAATTCCAATGCTACCACTGATAGCACAACTGCGAGGCTGTTGGATGTAAGTGTTGTCAGCACCACAAAAACCGCCGATCCTTTTGCCAACACAAGCTCACAAACATCATCCAACCCCATCCGACCTCAGAGGACTTTTAACTAACTGTACATGACTTTGTCTCAAGCCATGAAGGTGTTGGTAAAAAAAGGGCACCTAAAACCCTTACAACCTCGCCTACTTCCTGATCCTCTTCCACCCAAATACAACCTCGCAAAATATTGTACATTTCATATCATGGTCATGACACTAACCAGTGCTTTCGATTGTGTCATGAGATTCAGTATCTCATCAACAACAAGGTGATCACTCCACCTCAGAAACCGAATGTAACCACAAATCCACTCCCAGCCCAGAATCAAGTCCTCCCACCTCGAAATCTTAACCTGATCCATACACTGATCACCTCTTATAATCCCAGCGTATACATTACCCCCTTCCACCTCCCAAAACCAATGTTGTTCATTCTTGAGGATATAAACCTGTGCATGATGAGCACGTCTGACCTATAGACTAGGCTTTCTAGATCAATGGTGACAACACCTGCCGTAGGAGAAGTTCTAACTGCGGAGAAAGGTACTAGTTTGTTGTTGGAGTGTCCTGGGGACTTAGCTAAGAGGGTGTATGACCCAAGTTGTTATACTATACCAGCTAGTTAGACCAAGCCTAAACTGGTGCTACCAAGCTTGGCGGACATCAATGTGGTCAAGGAAGATGGCCCGGGCCAAGGTTTAGATGATTTGGCAAACCTTGAAGAGGACTTGAACAATTTGCAATTCTTTGATGAGCATGATTAGGGAAATGTACAGATCAGATGGTTCGACCTGAACGAATCGATTAATAAATACCGAATGGCTTAGTGATGAGCCAGATAAAGAAAAAGAAGCTAGAATGAAACCAGAAGAAAAGGAAGCAGAGATAGTTGTAGTAGCCGGAAAGGCTGATGAGAAAGGAAAGTTGCCGGAGAGCGCTAGTGCAAAAAACCCAGCCCAGGAAGTAGGCGTTGTGAACACTATGGATACTGAATAGGAAGTTGCATTAAGGCAGTTTGAACGAGAAAGAATTGAAAACAGTCGGGAAACCGTAATTTCACAGCACCTTGTGGGGGATACCTATGATGTGAAGGTGATACAAGCAGAACCGGACAACTGTTTGTCGGTTGCTGAGGGTGAATGGTGGAACGATAACGATCTGCATCTGGCCCATACTGACGAAGACTGGGGCAATTACGTTTTAGATAATACGTGGTATGCTGAGGAAATAAGCCATCTCACCCGTAGTGGACGGTGTTTTAAGCTGCCGCATCTGGATCAAGCAGAGGCGTCTGAATCAAGTAGAGGCGTCTGGAAAGGACAAGGAGATAGAGAAACAGAAGGAGAAACAACTAGAAGAAGAGTCAGTATTGAAACAGCTCAAGAAAATCCAAGCTGACATCTCCATCTTGGGTCTTCTCATGGCGTCATGAGTGCACCGGTAGGCAGTGTTGTCAGCAATGGACAAGGCTAAATTGTCCATTGACAATATGCCCGAGCAGCTTGTGGGTTTGGTCTTTTCAGGTGGTGATAGGCCAATGCTTACTTTCTCTGACAAAAAGTTGTCGTCTAAGGGCTTGGCTCACAACAAACCATTGTATATATTTGTGGAATGCAGGGAGAAGTGGGTGCCGGTGGTGTTAGTAGATACCGGTTTGGCTATTAACGTCTGAATTTCCCGTACTACCTACGTAATTGGCCTCAAACCAACGGACTTTGTTCCCACAGCCTAGGTAATACGGGCATATGATAACACAAGTAAAAAAGTCATGGGCACAGTGCAAATGAGAGTCCAAGTGGGCCCAACTGAGCAAG